AGCGACGCAGGTATCGGGGAGGGGTCGACCATGATTGAGCAGGTGGTGGACTGCGTCCTGGGGCCCAGGGAAGGCGGGGAAGGCGCGGTGCTTGCGCCGGGGGTGGGACGCGGAGTGTTGGGATGCCGAGAAAAGACGGAATCGGTCCGAGACCAGCTGACGGCGGAGGCGCTTGTGTTCGTCTTGTCTTTGCGCACCCTCCTCCTGGCGTACGGGCAGGATGACGGCTTGTCTTTGCAGGATGGGGCCCAACGTAATCATGGCGCCTACACGGCCTTCCTCCGTGCGGCGGCAGCCACCCTCCTCCAGTGGACCGAGCGCCCTCTCCCCACCCTGGCGCCCTTTGAGCCGACGGACCGCTTTACTCGCCCCTTGCACCCCTTCTGGCTTGTACAGCCAGAGTTTGGGAAGAACCTAGCGATGCGACTCCGAAGCATCGCCTTCCTTCTTTCCTACCGGACCTGCCTGCACCAAGTGTTAGCACTGTCAGATACCTTAGGCAGGGTCCTCCATCCCCCCCGCCCTCTGGCCGTCGATCTGAGCCATACAGTGGTGCAATATTTTGTGGGGGAGGATTGGAGGGATCCGGAAGGCGAGACAGGTTTCGAGAAGGCAGGAGGGACGGACCAGGGAGGGGAGGAGGGAGGGAAGGAGGGAGGGAAGGAGGGAGGGAAGGAGGGGTGTCCTTCCTCCATCGGAGAAGCACGGATCGAGGGCGTGACGGCCGCATTGGGTGCGGCCGTCACGTGGAGGATCAAGGAGGAAATGCGCGTGTGGTATCCGGATGCGGTGTGAATGGGAGGGAGTATCCGACCGAGGGACTTCGGGGGCAATGCAACGACGAAGACTTCGGGACCAACACCAATCAGGAAGTCAAGACGAGGATAGCGCGAGCAGTGCTTCATACCTTGTGGGGAGAAAGTCGACCCTAACGCTAACCTTTGCCGTCCAGACGTCTCTTGATTTCCTCGCGGACAGTCCCACAAGAGGGAGAGGGAGGGGTGTGCCTACGGATGGTCCGTTCCGACGTGAGTGCAAGCAAGCAGGGATCTCTAGGGGCTGAACAGGATGAGAAGGAGGAGGAGAAAGAGGGCGTCTCTATTGAAACGCTCCCGGTATCGGCCGCATTCAGGGAGGGCCATGCGCCGCTGCCTCTTCATCTCACGACGTTATTGTAAGTCACCATGTGAGAGACGAAAACGCTATTGGCATGTTTGGTGATCTAGAAGCCTCCCAAGCATGCAAGCGTGAGACAAGACGTGCGCTTTAAGCGCCTTGGCTACATTTTCATACAGGAGTCTATGGAGAATTACGCAATAAAACGATGTGCCTCCAACGCAAACCAACCGACAGCCACATCCGTGCATGTGTGTCAAATGTGGAATCAACAGGATTAAAATACACATACATAAATATATATGGATCATATGTGGCCCGTGCCACAGCTTTGTCCACGCTGATCGTAACAACCGCTCCATTTCCCCTTTCTTCTTTGTGGATGCCACCCTCCGCCCGCCCACCACTCTTTCCCTTTCCATGCACGAAAGCTTTACTTTTTTCGCTCGCTTCCCTTCTTTTTGTTAGGTATTAAAGTAAAGGCAAGCTCAACCGCGAGGTTGGACGTGCATCCCAGGAACGTGCGCCCTCTCCCAGAGGAAAGCCACCTCCAGTGATACTTGTCAGTGTCCTTCTTCGCAAGCACCGCAAGCTGACTTCCTCTCTCCCCTCCTTCTTCCCTTCCTCCCTCAAAATTTTGGGTGCTTCATGGTGCTTGTGTCACGTTTTTCTTACTTTTCGCGCCATTTTTGGGAGGAAGAAGACGCCCCGTCCTGCACACTTTTCCAAATCTTCCTCTCCTCCTCTTCCTGCTCCTCTCCCTCCTTTCTCCCACCCCCCCGATCCTAAATCCCTCTTTCCCTTTTCCAAGGGAGCAATATTAACTTCATGCATATTGATAGGTGAGAGGACATGTATATATAAAGGGTTCGACACACATGACGAATAATGTGGACGACGGACGCTCATAATGCAAGAAGAACCTCCCACTTCCGCTTCACATCCACGCTTTATCCCTTCCTCTCCCCCTCCCCCCTTCCTAGCATTCCTCTCGGTCACCCTCACACTCCTGCCCTCCCTCGCTTGCCAACTCCGAGTACCGGACGGAGTGCTGTCGGGAGGAAGGGAGAGAGAGAGGGAGGGAGGGAAGGAGGGAGGGAGGGAGGGAGCTTTTGGCTCATCCAAAGGAAGCTCCGGAATCCGAGTCGTCGTCGGATGATGCCTATTTTCTCACGCGACATTTCATCCATGACGATACTTCTCCATAAATTG